GCTGCGCGTGCCGCGCCCCTCAGGCGGAGGGCAGGCGGGAAGGGAGGAAGGAGCCGTCTCCTCAGGGCAGCGTCTCTCCCTCTGTGTCGCCTTCGGGTACCGCCACTCGTGCCCCTTGAACCCTGCCCTGGTCTCGCCTGTTGTGGTCCTCTGTGCCCACCCCCCCACTCCTCTGGCCGGCGTCTGGGTATCCTGCTCTCCCGCTGCCAGTTTGTTCCGAGGTGTGCGGCGCCTTCTCATTGCCCTTGTCCCCCAGCGTCTCCCTGAGCTTCTGTGGTGGCTTGGCCCTCATCGGTCCTGGTGCTGGCTGGGGTGCCTTTGCACAGGGTTAAGATTTGGGATCGGACATTGGAGGAAAGGGTTCTGTGTTGAGGGGGAAACATGGGGAGCAGATGCCTTTGGGCTAGCATGTGCACGCTCGCTTTACTATTTTATGCATATAAGGTCCATGAGCAGTTGCAGCATCAGTGCTGAAAACTACAGTGGTCGGTACCTGTGCACTTGGCAAATGTGTGGCGGTCAGCCATCTCGGTAACTGGGATATAGCCAGCTGCTGTGTTGTCAAAGATTAATTGAGGCTAGAAAAATCAGTTTCCCATTGTCTTTTTTTCCTGTTGTTTGAAGAGTAAAAAAGATGAGTTTCTCCTACAGTTGCACAGTGCTTCTGGGCCAGTCTGTGTGCAGCTGCTAATAGGGCACCAGAATGTCTTGCTGTTGTACCTATCTCTATCCTGCTCCCATGTGCTTATTCCTGCAGCATCCCTTCATCAGCTCTGCTGCTTATTCAGCTCCTTAATGAGTTGGTTTAACCCACTTGACCAGCAGGGAAGGACAAGAAAATAAAATAAAAAAAAACCAAACCCTCAGGTTGAACTGGCTTACCAGAGGGTCAGATGCTCTGAGGGAGGACTGTGTAGCGACTGAGAGTGCTGTGCTGCCCTTTTGGTGTCAGTGAATTGTTGGTTCATATAGCTGAATCCATCTAATCATAGCCTCGTGCTGCAGGGCTGCATTTTGTTAAAAATCCACTTTCTGCCTCCTGTGATGACAGAGGAAAGGGTAACCATGGCAGTACTGACACAGTGGGGTCTGCCCCTAGCTGGAAACAGCCTTAATCCACACTGTCGTGTGGAGGCAAAGCCTTTTCTGTTTGACAGCCCACCAGTTTTGTGACATCTCTTGAATGCCTTAAATGTGAGTTTTAAATGATGTATTAGTTTCATTGCGTAAAATGAGGAAAAAGCAGGAGGTTCTCTGGTTTTAGGTTAAGAAAATTGTGCTGTTCCCCACGTATAAACTTCTGTCGTTTCTTAGATCACTTTCTGTAGAGGGATAGGAACTGCTGCTGCTCTGCCTGTGTGTATATTAGAGTAAGAATACCCAAGGTGGACTACAGAATGTGTCTTCAAAAGTAGTGTCAGGTTTGCTGAATACTTGTTTGTATTGGAGTAAATGTCAGGAAGAGGAAGTGTTGCTGCTGACGACATGGTAACATTTCGTAGTATTTTGAATGATTCTTTTGTCTCCCCTTGCCCCATTTTACTATTTAAAATGCCCAAAGCATGCAATCACTTCCATCAATGCTTAATATAAAAGCATAAAGGAAACTTTATAACTGATTCTTCCAGACCCTGGGTTACAGTTAAATTTGATTATGATTTTCTAGATAACAACAGAAGTTGGATTTGTAACTTACCTGTGTACAGGTTAACACCAACATGTTTAATGTTTGCCTTTTAAAGAGTGTAGATAAGCTACTATAGATTTGTGTGGACCTTTATTACTTTGATTTACATTATCTTTTCTTTCTTAGAGTTCCGTCCCCCTGCTTAATTGTCCCTCCTTTTCCTGGTTTCACACTTGCACCTGATTTTATTTCATTTGAAGGAAGCTAAGGGGTGGCAGCTCTTTTGCTTTAATAGAGCGAAGTTTTGACCCTACTTTGGCTTTCTTCTGATTTTGATTGTTTATCAGAATAGTGCTCGTGGCTGTGAGAAGAGCAGTGTAAGAGTTGGCAAGTCAGCAAAAATGCAATATTTTATACCTTGGCATTACAGCTTTCATTGATGAATTGGGGTTTGCAGGAGTAATTGTGAAATGAAGAGAACCGCAACAAAAAAGCGAGTGCTAGTAGTTATTGACATGCTTACTTAGAAACAGTATTTTCCTAAATCCTGAGGTTTAATCTAGTGTGGTCTCTGAGTATATTTCCAAGCTCCTTCAACGTAATTTTCTCAAAGGTTCATTTCTAAAGGGTATAGCACAAAGTGAGGGGTGTTGGGGGAAGCTCAGAATACAACTTGCAGCTGTTTTTCTTTAAGCTTGAATGAGAACGTCTGTCCTGGGAAGGCAGTCCCAAGGCTAAATGAGTCAAAATTCATGAAACGCTTAGATGGCTTCTTGAAATAAAGCTTTGTGGTACATAAGCTGCATTGATTATATGTCAATGTGGTCATTTAATGCTGTTCACCC